ATCATATTCTAAGCCCTCCAATCCTTTAATGTTGAAGCTGCTAAGTCCTATGTAATCCTGACTATGGCTCCATGATTTTTTAGTTATTGCTTTCTGGCTGCTTGTAATATTTTCTTCTTGACCTGAGAGCTATGGAATTTGGCTATAATAATCCTAGGAGTTTTCATTTTGGGATCCCATTCAAGAAGTGATCAGTGGATTCTTTCATTTTCTATTTTGCCCTCTGCTTCTAGGATATCAGAGGAGTTTCCTTGATAATGTCTTAAAACATGATATCCAGGCTCTTTTTTTTATCATAACTTTAAAGTATTCCAATAGTTCTTAAATTATCCCTCCTTGATCTCTTTTCCAGGTCAGTTGTTTTCCTAATGAGAAATTTCACACTTTCTTCTATTTTTTCTTTCTTTTGATTTTTTTTCATTTCTTGATATGTTATGAAGTCATTAGCTTCTACTTGCCCAATTCTAATTTCTAAGAAATTATTATTTTTTTTTAGTGAACTTTTGTGTCTCCTTTTCCATTTGGTCAATTCTACTTTTTAAAGAGTTGTTTTCTTCAGTGATTTTTTTTGTATATCTTTTTCTATTTTCTGTTCATCCTTTACCAAGCTATTGATTCTTTTCTCATGATTCTCATGCATTACTCCCATTTCTTTCCCCAATTTTTCTTCTGCCTCTTATTTGATTTTTAAAATCATTTTTGAGCTCTCCCTAGAGTTCTTGGATCTGAGACCAATTCACATTTTTTTTAAGGCTTTCCATGTAGCCATTTTGACATTGCTGTCCTCTTCTAAGTGTGCCTTGAGCCTCCTTGTCACCATAGCAACATTTTATTGTTTTTGCTCATTTTCCCAACCTATTTTTTGACTTTTCACTTTATGTTAAAATTGGGCTCTGCTTCTGTAGTGAAGAGGGCAGTGTCCCGGTTTCTTGTGCTAGGACTTGGCCCCTAGCTGCTAGTTTGTACTGTGGGTGGCATCTCAATGCTGGCCTGCCTTAGGGGTGGGTCCTTGCTGTTGGCTTGTGCTGGGGTGGGGGGAGTGGGACCTTGTTGCTGGCCTGCACCAAGGGCAGGGCCTTGCTGCTGGCTTGCCCTGGGGCACAGGGCTTTGCTGCTGGCCCTCTGGGGTGTGATCTGCTGCTAGCTTACTCACAGGCCATCTACGCCAAACCACTCTTTTGTCCCACCCCAGTGAGGCAGACCTTTCCTGATGACTCTCTAAGCTGTCCTGGGCTGGAAAATCTCCCCCCACAACTTGCCTATTTCTAACCTACCTAGCATCATCCAGGCCCCAACCTATGGAATCATCTCTGATTCTTATCCTTTTCTAACCCTTTTTACCCAACCCTTTGCCAATTCTCTCAGTTCCATCTCCATATTATCTCTTATATCATTCCCCTTCTTTCTACTCAGCTATCTGACAACCTAGCTCACTCACACAACCAATGCTAGTTAATGTCCTTATAACCTCTTACTTGTATTATGGTCACAGTACCCTAGTTTCTCCCATCTCCGGTGAATCTTTCACAGAAACACCAATAATCTAAGGCACAGGTCTGACCATGATGTTGCCTTTGTTCAGCAACCTTCAATGACTTTCCATTGGATAATATGAAAATATCTTAGCCTGGAATTTAAAATTATTTACAATCTTGTTCTAACCTAATGCAGGTCTTGGCACATATTTGATATTTAATAAATTGATGATTTGAATATTTATTTCACATTACTTCCCTTCATGTGTTCTATATTCTAGTCAAACTGGACTATTAGCTGTTTGCCCTATCTCTTCTAGTCTTTCAGCCTTCATGAAACTATCAGGATGGTCCTTGGTGCCTGAAAAAGAGTCTCTAAATCTCCAGCTTTTGAAATACTTTTGCTTCCAGACCCAGCTCAGCTTCCAGCTCCTCCATTAATTCTTCTCTAATCGCTGCCACTTAAAACAATGTCTTCTTCCTCAAATTTCCTTGGAGTACAAATGGTAGTATAAAGGGAGAGACTACTAGGTTAGGAGTTGGTAAGGATGGTGAATCTGAATCCTGTCTTTTACATTTACTAGTTGTGTGACCTTGGGCAAATCACTTAATCTCTTTGAGACTCAGTTTCTTCATCTGTAAAATGGGGATGCTATACATTTAGAAATTACCTCAAAGAATACTTGTGAGCTAGAATGACATGATATACGTAGAGCCACAGGGACAGTGCTCTTCCAAGTCATGAATCAGCCAGATAAGAGAATAAGAATCAATGAGATATATCCACTGCAATCTTGTATGCCTTGGGTATGTCATTTCCCCAAATTGGTCCTCATGTGAACAATGAGTAGCTTTAGTTAGATAATATCTAAGATTCTTTTTCCCTTAATACCATGGGTACAACCATACTCTTAACAGTTTTTTTAAAGCTACTTTTATAGAGTTGCATTGTTTAAAACAAAATTAAGGAAAATTTTAGGTAGCTGGGACTATTTTGCTAGAAGACTGAAGGGAGCCCCAGGAACAGGTCTTCATATATTTGAAGGGTTCTTCTGAGATACTGGTGACCAGATACTAGGAAATGAGGGCTAAAAAAGGTTTAGAGGGGACTTTATCACCTGTCCTTGGTGAAAATGACACCTGAACTTTTACTGGGAAGTAGTGAAATTACATCACCAGGTCTACAAACTGTTGCTGGAAGAGGTTGTACAATCTCCCTTTCTGGGAGTCTTTTCAAAGAGAGTAGATTCTCATCTTCCTTGAATAGCTGGATTGTGAATCTAACAGAAGACAGGATTGTGGGCTAAGCAATCGATAACAGCATTGTGGATACGGTGCTAGGGAAAACTTGGACTCAAATTCCACTTCGAACACTAACTATATGACTCTGAGCCTCATTTCCTTATCTGTATACTGGGAGGTTTGGACTACATGGCCCCAGATCTATATCTATGATCTTTTGATGTCTCTGAGTGCCTCCCAATCTGAGGATTCAGAGACTTGCTATTTTGGATGTTGGAAGAAAAATTATGATTCACAGAGTCTCTGAGTTGGAAGAAACCTCAGAGATCCTCTAGTCTAACAACCTGGATAATTCCTGCTGTACTATTTCCCACAAATCCAGCCTTTGTTGAAATCCCCTTTAGTGAAAGGGAACCCATTATTCTTGAAAATAACCTATTCTTCTTTTGAACATCTGATTATTAAAGTTGTCCTTACATAAAGCAAAATCTGTCTTCCTGCAGATGTCATCTGTTATTCCTTGTTCTATTTGCTGAAGCCTGGCGAAGGAAGACCTCCTTAGGACATTTTTCTAGTACTTGAATACTCCTCCCTCCCATGTCTTCCTTTCTCCAGTCTAAATGTTCCCAGGTCCTTCAACCAATCTCCACGTTTCATGGTTTTCAGTCCTCTCACCATTTTCTTTGGGATATGTTCCAGTTGTCCATGCTCTTCCCAAAATGTTGTACTCAGAATTAAAAACTATACTCTAGAGAGAATCTGATTAGAGCAAAACACAGTGGGACTCTCACTTCCCATAGTCTGGAGTCTGGGCATCTCTTAATACAGTCTGGATCTTGGTAGCTTTTTCACTTGCCTTTTCATATGAATGATTGTCAAGCCAACTTCCCCCTTGGACACACGCAGTTACATAGTTGAGTTTTTTGAATCAAAGTGTAAGAACTTATATCTATCACTATTAAATTTAATCTCATTAGAGTTAGTAGCCCAGTGGCCTGGCCCATCTAGAATATAAAGTGTAATAGATAAAGCACAAGACTACTGTAACATGCCAAGTAGTACTTGACTGATAGTGGGCAAGTACTTTAGAGCTAAAGGACTCAGAGAAAGTGAAATAGGTCCTGTCACATTTTAGAAGATTGTGTAAGAATTCCTGCCCTCTAAAGAGGTGTCAGACTAGTGGGCACTGGGCTTCAAAACGCCTCTGTGTGGCCGGAACTAGTTTAAAATGTAATTGGGAAATGTTCAACAAAATAAATAAAAATACAATAAAACATAGATCATGTTAATTTGTGTTTTTTTAAAAGACATTATGTGGTCTGCAGGGATCCATGTTCTATTTGAGTTTGATACCACTGCTCTAAAGGAGATTAACCCAATTTTCAAATATTGCTGCTACAAAAAAATCCCATTTGGGCCTCCAAAATTTATACAACCCCCACAATAGTGTCCAGTGACATGATCTTCTTTCTTGGGTACTCTTTTCTATATTAGGTGGTGTGCAAAACACAACTGCCTACCAAATCTTTATAAGACAAAATGCTGACCAGAAAAGAGGTCAGTCCATTGTATTTAGCCTTCTTGAAAAGCAGACCAGGAGTGAACAAATACTTAATCCGTCCCATGGTACAGCCATTCATTGCTCAGTTGGCTTATAAAAATCCAGTGGCTCTGCATTGATAGTGTCTGAGAGCACCCTCAACAGATACAGATTGCATGGGAAACCAACACATTGGGAACAGAAAAGAGAGGTGAAAGATAGTAATTTTTTTGTAGCATATCAAAGTCTTGATTCCTATTCAGTCTTCCCCTGATTTATTAAAGACATGAATACATGGGCCGGTGCTCTTTTTTTTTTGTGTGTGGCTGATTTAAAAGACTATGAGAATATTTTATATTTTCTTTTGAAAGACATTTTCAGTTTTTTTTTTTTTTTTTGCAAAACCATTTCTAGGATGCATGATTTCACCAGTGAATGTGTTATAGCAGCAGAGTTGACAACTGGCCAGAACCTTAAGTTCTTCCTTTTTTTTTTTTGCTAGGCAGTGGGGTCAAGTGACTTGCCCAAGGTCACACAGCTAGTAAGTGTTATGTGTCTGAGGCTGGATTTGAACTCAGGTCCTCCTGAATCCAGGGCCGGTGCTCTATCCACTGCTCCACCTAGCTGCCCCCTAGAACCTTAAGTTCTACAAGCTTCCACTCAGAGATAAGTTGACTGAGTCAACTGTAAGTCTTTGAATATATACCTTGGTACTCAGAAAATAATCTTTAGGACTCACATGATAAAAGGTCTGGTGCATGATGGCACTGAATGAAATATTTCTTTATAGATAATGCAGCTGGGATAAATCCAAGTGAGCATGTCAGTAATCAAGCATCCTACCCCAAAGGGCTAACATCACAAGGATGAAACCACAAGGTAGGGGGAAAAATTCTGCTCTGTTAGAAGATTCCATCACAAGTGCTCTCCTAGGGGAACACCGAACCTGCAGAGCCAAAGGTAACAGCCTCCATCCCAACTTCTACTGCTTTTCAGTGGAGCATATATCCCATTGGGCCCAGTACAAGTAAATGGATTTTCCCCTAGCTTTCAGTCTTACAACTTCATTAAATTTGTACTTTTAGTGAATAGACACAGTTATAGACCCTTGGCTGCAATCAACTGTACAACCCAGGGTGGGGCACGCTATTACATTATCACACTAAGTTCATGTTTCTCCTCCACTTGTTTCCTCTTTTCATCTGAGTCTGGGTCTGTATGGTGGATTTCAATGCCGTAAATATAGATGAAGCCTCCTAAGGCGCCACCAAGGAAAGGCCCCACGACTGGGATCCACCAGAAGTAACTTCCAGCTCTGAAATGCAAACAAGAAATTCACATTACAATTCATGTTTAGTTTGGATGACTCATTTTTCTCTGACTTCCTCTGGCTTTCTACCCACCAAAAGCTGACTCCCTATGGACCTCTACTGTGTATGCATTCAGTTTCTTTTGTCATTTTTCCAGAGTTAGGGGAAGAGAGTAGGTGAGTGCAGTGAATATGCCCTAAAGAAGTAGTGAGGCAGGGATTTCCCAGGCTGTCAGGACCAGTGCCCTGCTGAGTTGATTTCCAATCAAACTAATCTACGTGATTTATTGGGTGAGTAGCAAACAAACAATAGGACCTGTGAGAGTTAAGAACACACCTATACTTAAGGCTGAGGAGCCTTAGATGCAGCCTGGGTAGTTCATTCAGGGAAAACTAACTGATCCTTTTTAATACGTGTGTGTGTGTATGTATACACATATATGTATATGTACACATACGTGCATATACATATATGTGTATGTATATATATACATATATACATATATGCATATATACACACATACACACACTAATCTTTATATATAATATGCTAACTAATCCATATATCCACATATATATATGTATATATATACATACATACATACATACATACATACATACATACATACAAACATTTTTAGTTTTCAACATTCACTTTCATAAGATTTTGATCCCTGGGTATATTAATATCAAATTAGAAATATGTGAAGTGTTTTTGAGGGCCTGGGCTGCTATTAAAATTTTGTCTTTCTATTCCAGGGTCTAGCATAGTTCCTTAAATCTACTTAATAAATGTCTGTTGGACTGACTTGAGTGTGCAAGTCAAATGAATGATTGAAAAAAATTATAAAATATTTACAATAAATATACAATAAAATAAAAATATTATTAACATTCATTAAGTGCAAAGTACACAGTAAACCACTGTTCATTTTTGAGGTCACAATCGCTTTCTGATAGAATTTGTCCCACATGTATCTCTCGCACTTAAGTGTTTAAAAAACTAATTTGGGATGTTAGAGTGTCCTTGATTCCACATTAAGGCAGCTGAAATTGGCCGTGATTTCTCACCATATTCTCTAGAGAGGCAGTAGTTTAGCTGGCCAAAGCTAGGAAACTAGGTAAAGCATTTGTTAAGCAGTTACTAAGTGTGAGGTACTGTGTTAGGTATCAGGAATACAAATATAATAATAACAGCAATGATGACGATGATGATACAGCCTCTTCTATCAAGCAGCTTACTTTCTGATGGGAGAAGGCAACACATAAAAGGGGACTGAAAAGGGACATAGGATGGGCAGAGCTTTGTATTATTGGCTGTCAAGGCAAACTAGCTTCTAGTACCCAGTACTGTTACTAACTAGCTAAATGATCTGGGGTAAACAGGGTAGAATCTTTGTGTGTTCTGCGTGGGCAAAGTTAAAAAATTGCTCTCTAACCCACTATGGAAAACCATGCCCCCTGGATATTTCTGTCCAGTGGAAGCTTGAGCCCACAACACACGGAGACTTAATTTAGCACCATATAAATCTATACCGCAGAAAGTGGAATTTTCTTTGTTAAAAATATGTACTCTATTACAGTATAATCTAGCTAATTAGTAGATAATAAACTCAAGTTATGGTCTATTCTGTTTTTATCTCAATATACTCAGCATTAATCTTCGTGCCTGTACATAATGTGCTTAATGCTTGTTGAATTGAATCATACATCAATCAACAACCATGTTGTTACTGCTGACATCAACAAAAATTAATAGTGCAGATATTAATGGCAAGTATTAGTTTGCAGATATTTTTTGCAAAAAAAACAAAACAAAACTCCTTTGTGTTGTATCCTGAGTGATCTCCTATCTACCTTGCTTTCCCCAGTCTTGGCTCTGTGGGAAAACTCTCTGACCTCTCTGGGCCTTTATTTTCCATGTTTAAAATGAAGGGATTGGATTAGATCAAGATTCTATCTGATTCTAATATCGTTAAGTCCTATTTTTAAGGTTTTTTTTCTTTTTTCTGGAAGGGAGCCTGATATTGGATGAAGCCGCCACCAGATGTCACTATTATTGCACAGTAAAGTTAAATTTTTTTTTCTCTCAGATCTGGGATCTCAGAGGCAAGTGACAAAAGTCTCCTTGTTCTATCTGTCCCTCTTAGACCCAAAGCCTGTGGCTTAGTCTGAGACTGAAGAAATAAGGTACAGCTGCAGATGAGGAATAATAAGAAAATCACAAGGGTCACGGGGGAGGGAGCCTACGACCTGAAGGCCACATGTGGCCTTCTAAGTCATTGGGTACAGCCTTTTGACTGAGTCTAAGTTTTACAGAACAAATCCTTTTATTATGAAGATTTGTTCTGTGAAGTTTGGATTCGGTCAAAGAGCCGCACTTGAGGACCCTGAGGGCCACCTGTGGCCTTGAGGCCGCAGGTTCCCCACCCTGGCAGCAGCTCCAAATTGAGGAAACAAGAACACATGGCTGAGTAGAAGCTGCCAGAATGGCTAAGGATCTAAACTGGTCCCTGAACAAGCTCATGGCCCTGTGAAAATCTTGGCCGTCTACCAAGCCTACTGCCAACAAATTGGTGCCGTAGAAGGGTGAGGTCACCCCATGGCAGGAGGGGAAAGGCTCACTAGAAAGCTCAACTCTACATTTCTACTTAAGTGCACCTGGCAACTGGAGAAATCTACCACTCTCAAGCTGCCAGTCCACAATGGCCAGCCTTTGTCTGACCACACTAAGCAAGGAGCATAGCACCAGGACAAGATTCGCTCTGCCCTGTGATCAGTGGTCACTGTGTCTCGTGCACTGTTCCTATTAATTCACTTGTCCCTTCTTGGCACATGGGTAGTCACCGCCCACAGTCTTCAATGTTTTGTTGAAGGCCTTATGATCTACTCGTGTTCTGTGTACAAACTTTTATCAGTTGGTCGGAAAAGCCTTGGTTCTTTGCCTCAGATCAAGGCCAACCCAGCCTCCCATCCTGCTTAGAAAGATGAAGCTAATAATTGTGTGTGTGTGTGTGTGTGTGTGTGTGTGTGTGTGTGTGTGTGTATGCCCACGTGAAAATTTAGGAACTCAGGTTCTATCCTCTCCATAGAAAACATCAAGCCAGAGCTTGCTTTGGTGTTTTTGCCATGCGTGAGGCTTAGGATGAGAGTTTGCTCATGGAATGATAGGGTGCTCTCTTGAAACTGGCTGTGACTGGCTGGGGCGGGGAGGTTTGGAACTTTGGAAGTAGATGAGACATAAATTCCTGTGGGAGGGAGGGAGCCTGTAGGATATTGGCCAATAGTTAGTCCAATATCCCCTTGGGTCATTCTGAGAAAAGGAGAAAGACCAACAATTATAACTAACATTTCTGTAGCTCTTTAAAGATTGCGAAGAACTCCTGTGTAGATTATCTCATTTCAGTTGTCACAGCAACTCATGGCAGATATGGTATTGTTATCCCCATTTTATGGATGAGAAACTACATCTTAGGGAATTGAAACAACTTGCTTGTGTCCACGCAGCTGGTGGGAGGTGAGGTCCAGCACTGTGCTCACTGTGGGCAAAGGCTCCCAAATCTCTGAATCCTACCATTTAGGGGTGGGGATGGGTAGGGAACAAGCATTTATAGCACCTACTCTGTGCTAGGCACTGTGCCAAACATCATCATCATCATCATCATCATTTCATAATAGCTAACATTTATATAGTGTCTACTCTGTGCCAGGCACTGCATTAAATGCTATAATTAGTAATAATAATAAAAAATTTGGTCATTTAACTTAGAAATTTCTCTATCAAGCTTAGTACAAGTTATCTCTGTGTGGGACAAATCATTTTCTACATACATCCCAGCAACAGATTTTTCCTCAACATAAAAATCAAAGTCTTTTTCGATAAAGAACTGGCCTCAGAATCAGGAAGGCCTGGGTTCAGATCCTGCCACTGATATACTGGCTGTGTGACCCTGGGCAAATCACTTAACCTCTCAGTGCACTGGGCAACTAAGACTATAAGTAGCAGAGCAGTTCCTTAGCTACATTATCAGGAGGTTTCTTCACTGGAAGTTCCCCATACCAGTACTAAAACAAAACAAAAAACAAAACAAAAAACAAACCCATACCCTTTCATCAGTGAGATAATACATGTGTATAATTTCTCCTAAATGCTATCCCTTTTAAATGTTCCCTTATCATCAGTCAAAAGCCCCATACGGGGCATAAGAGTTCTTTAACAGTTCCATCTAAGGTCACTTACGTGAAGACTTCAAGCCCCCACCCTGCCAGAGCTGTGAATACTCTGGGACCCAGGTCTCTAGCTGGATTCATGGCACAACCACTGTTCATTCCCAATGAGGAAGAAAGACAAGGATCAGTAGGCCAAGGACAATGGGTTCTAGGCCCTTGGGGACCCTCCAGTTTTTCTCATCAAAAACGGCAAATACTACCAGGAGAAGGAATGCGGAAGACATCACCTGGAGAGGGAGAAGAATGCATCAGTGAGTTAAATCTGTGGCCTTAGGGCTAAGAAATTGGGACTTACCAAGACAAGAAATTTAATGCCGTAGTTTTGGAGAGCAGAGGTTTTATTTGGCAAGACTGGGGATTTTCATTTTAGAATGCTTCCCAAGGGCAGAGATTCTTTATGCATCTCCAATGGCTTCTCTCCCTTGCCCCCAACCTACAGTAGCTCAGGGCTTCTTACAATCATTTCAATTGTCATTGACCCCTGCGACTGGGCCTTGAAGAGACCAATTTCTGAATGAGAGGAAAGTACTTAGTGTGAACTTTTCTGGACGTTGGGGCTCTGGATGAATTTCGCTAGAGTGACTAAAAACAGCTAACCAGTACTATCCTTAATTTGATCAGAAGGCCAGGAAAATACCCTGGATGCCAGGCCCTCTGGGTAGCCTTCTTTGGGGCTGTGAATCAATGAAATCTTGAATGATTTCAGAAGAGAAAAATTGAGGGTGTATATCAAAGAGGCAACTCCTTGAATGAATTAGTCAATCAACAAATTCTTATTAAGTTTACCTTCTACGTGTCAGGCACTGGTGATCAATGCTATCTGATCCTGACTCAGTTTTAGCCACTAGGGATATAAAGACAAAAATTAAACAATCCCTGCCCTCAGAGAGCTCACATTCTATTAAGGGAAATGTGCACACATAAGACCAGGATTGCAACTTCTCTTGACTTTTTTTGGCAAAGTACAAGGTATGCCTGAGGTTATTGTGTAAACACTCTTTGGGTTAGTCTTAATGTTGCCTTCAGCACTTCTTGTCATTGGGAAAGACCAAAGAATGGACATCTCTGAGGGAGATTATAATACAAGAAAGGACCATGTTAGTGTTTTCTGTTGAGAACAGGATATAATCCACAAGGAAGGATTAAAAAACTGATGGATTTTCCCCCATTTTCATGGTGTTACAGTGGCTCTGGTGGGTAATTCTTCGCTCAAATCCTGAGAAAGAAAAATTAAATCCTTGCCAGGGCAAGTTCAACTTGGTGAAAGTAAATAAATAGGCCTTATCATCTTCTACCTTAGATGGAAACAGATCCAGTAGGTCTCCTGTTTCTTTTAAAGGGAAAATCCTCATAAGAAATCCCCCCACACCCATCATGTGAAGAAACAGGGGGGTGGAATTCACTGGCAAACAGAACCATTCACCAAGGATCATTGTATCTTTCACCCACCCCAGTACCTATATATGTTCCTATTGAAACCCCTAAAGCCCTTAATGTCTGCAACCTTCCTCATAATCCTAGAAGTAAAACATTTCTTATACAGAAAGCTGCTAGTTTATACAGGCCTATAGGCCTGTACCTCTGGCTGAAAATGACAAAGTTTTCTATTGGCTGGCCCTACCCTACCTATAATTTTATCTCCCATTATGCACCCTCAGCTTCCCCTTCTTCTCCTGACATCCCTCCTTCCTGCTGATGGGTCTTTACCTTTTAATACATGAAATCATTGCTCTCCTAATCACCTTGGAGCATCCTTTCCCTATCTCAGATAACAGCTTAAGATCCATCTCTTTGGCTTTCCCCAGAAAGCCTCCTCTCTTCTGCCCTACTCTATCCTCCAATATACTTTGATAACGTATTATACTTGTATGCAAATATTTCTGTTGAACACATGCTGCTTAGTTTTGTTCCCCTTCAATAGTCTGTGAAATCCTTAAGGACAGGTACCATGTGAATTCTTTATGATGTAACTTCTAATTATCCAGTATGGTGTGCTCTGCCAAAGGGATAGTTACGGAATTCATGTCTTAGCTTAGCAAACATGAACAGGCTGAGTTTCTTGTTTTTAATGGGTCTTGTGGGGAAAACGTCTAGCAACTTTATTGGAAAATGCTGTATTATCCCTGAATAAATGGGGCTATCAATTCAGTTATACCTTGAAACAGATATAAAATACGATAGGAGGAATTTAAGGGAAATTTTCTTGACTAGGAGGATCATGGGAGACCAGAATAGAAGTTATAGGATCTCTTTCTCTGGAGATCTTTAAAGTAGGGCAATCACTGAACTAGAGCCTAGAGGAAGGATTTTCTTTTAAACTTCTGTTGTTTCCACCTAATTGCTTGGGGCTCCTTCCTGTGGCTGTGGCCTCAAGAATGTAGCTATCCCTTTATATTCCTTCATAACAAGTCTTCAGCCCCAATTTTTCTTAAGTTTCACAAGCTACTTTAAGTTTGGCGATTTAAAAAAAAACATAATTCCATTTTTTAATTAGCAAAGAAAATCTATTTTTTTTCTCTCTTTTACTTCCTTCCTTAACATTTCGGGGGGGGGGGGAGAAGAAAAACAGAACACTTGTAACAAATATGCATAGTCAAGCAAAACAAATTTGTGCATTGGCCATGTCCAAAAAAAATTTTCCTCATTCTTCACCCTGAATTCTTCAAATGTGGTGATTTCCATAAATTATATATAGGCTGACTACTAAGAGCATATAAAATGATAGAGTCTGGCTTTGGAGAAGTCTTAGAATCTAAGACAATCTAATCCTTTTATTAAGGGTGCGTGTTCTGTGAAATTTGGATTTAGTCAAAGGGCCACATGTGGCCTTGAGGCTGCAGGTTCTGCACTCTTGTCTTTGATGTTTGCTGGTTTCAAGTACCACTGTCAATCTACCTAAGTCATATTCCTGGCTATAGTTTTCTCCTTAGCTATAGAAAAATCAGTAATTTATTCCTAGTTCCATTAGTTTCTCCCAGACCTTTTCTTCCCTGGCAACTGGAGGTCTCTTTGAAGCCTAGCTTTGACTTTTTAACTAATCCCATTATCCTTTTCATCATTATCAGTTACTTATTATTTGTAATAACTATTATTATTAATAGGTAACATTTGTATATCTCTTTAAGGTTTGCAAGGTGGTTTACATGTTATCTCGTTTGAACCTTTTCTCTAAACATCTGTTGTGAACTCACTCTGTAGCTATCCCAGAGACAAGATAGGGGATAATTCTTCTCTTCAAGAAGAAAAAAAAAATTCAGAAAATGCTCCTTGGGCCCTAGTAAAAATGTACTATTATCCCTTGAGGTGTCAGTGTAGGTCTTTAAACTGCTAGAAAATGACCAGTAGTACAGTAGAATAGTGATGCTTTTTGGTCAATTGCCTACATGGATAAGATGCTGACAACCAATTTAAAGTGACAATAAAATGGACATATTTTATTATTTTATTTTTAATTTTTATTTTCAGTTCCAAATTCTTTCTCTCCTTTTACCCCTTATCTCACCTCTAGTGAAGAAAGGAAATACGATAAATTTTGGAGCATAGTTTGAATGTTTGAATGTCTGGATACCTTGGAAATTGTGTGTGTATGTGTGTGTGTGTGTGTGTGTGTGTGTGTGTGTGTGTTGAAGTCCATGAGCATTCTTAGAGGTTTAGTGGTAAATAACTAATTTTTAAAAAATTAATATGTACATTTAGCAGGATAGGTTGGGCCATGTCCATCCATCCCTCACTTGGAAGATTCAGCTTTTATTTTCTGATTAACTAATCCTGTTTCACGAGCATTCTGCTACCATATCCACCTCCACCTAGTCCACCTTGCAACCGAACTTACTTGGTCTGCAATTTCATTTGTTACAGTCAGGTATTTAATTGGATAAGTTGCAAAAATATGGGCTGTTGCATTTTCTCCTGTGACGATCAGTTTTCCCTCAGCAAAGGACCTAAGTGCGTCTATAAAAAAACAAAGCCCTTGTTTGTTAGTATTCTTTTGGGAAGCATAAAGGGGAGAAAAGCAGGACATAGAGAAGACAACACATTGCTTAAACATTGAGGTGAGACTTATTGCTACCTTAGCTTTCTCCAAATTTTGGATGATGATGGTCATCAAAAATGCCAAATCTCAGGGTGGTTCTGGAGCTCTCTAGGATCATCTCCAAGGTTTTGGTTAACATGAGGGAGGGGTACAGAAAGCCCACAGCTACTTCAGCTGGACCCCTCTGGGCCTGAGCCACCTCCTGGTCTAGAGGGATCTTGGAATCTACCCACTTTTCCTCTGGAATTTCAGAATTGTCCTGTGAGCAGGATAGACTCCATGGATCTGTGTGTGCCCCAAACAAAAACTCCATGGAGATTTCAGTGGTGCCCACCGCTGCCTTAGGATTTATAACAGAGTTGGGTGCATCCAGGGTTTCAAAATGGATATAAGATGAGAAATGCCTGATGTAAAGGAGTTTAGAATCTAAGAATTTTAGGGAGGGAAGGAGCTAGCTTTTAGTCCAACTGTATAGAAGAAAGAGCCCTGGAACCAAAGTCAGAGAAACCTGAGTTTACATCCCAGCTCTGCTTTTTACCACCCATATGATCTTGGGCAAGTCACCTTTCCCAGCCTCAGTTTCTTCTTTTGTAGACAGGAAGAATGGTTCACTAGAAAATGTGTTGGTTCTGGAGTTGGAGGACCTGGGGATGAATCTTGCTTCTGTTAAACTAGCTGTTTAACTTCTTTGGGCTCAAGTTTCCTGTAAAATGGGGAATTGGTTCCAACCCTGTACTTATGATCTTAAAATGAAGGGACTGGGCCAGCTGATTGTTAGAATCCCTTCAAACTCTAAATCCCATCATCCTCCATTAGAAGAGTGCTCCCACTGGTTCAGAAACCTGATTGTTAAATTTTCAGGGTGAACATTTACACCTGGGAAACTGGCCAAGCTACAAAACAGGGCTTGATTTATTGTTTTATTGATTATCTATACCAAGTATCAGCAAACAATGACCTGGCTGATTGTTTTTGTTTGGCCTACAGCTTAGAATGTTTTCTTTTTGGCCCTGGGCTTGTAGTTTGCAGGGACACCAGTCCCATCCCCCCCAACTCTAGACTTGAGAAAATGATGGAGAACATGTTAATAACAGATTAAATTTAAAAATAAGTCTTGTATTTTTGGAGAGCTGCTTGTTAAAAGTTTATCAGCACACCTTTGTAAGTCTCAAATGTAAGCAATCTGGAGAGGTGAACCGATATCATGCAGCTAGCTAGTGGCATGCTAGCTAGAAGTCATGTCTCCTCTGATTTTTTTTTTTTTTTGCTTTTTGGTGAGACAATCGGGGTTAAGTGACTTGCCCAGGGTCACACAGCCAGTAAGTATCAAGTGTCTGAGGCCGGATTTGAACTCAGGTCGTCCTGACTCCAAGACTAGAGCTCTATCTATTTCACCAGTGAGCTGATTTCAAATTCAGTCTTGTTGTTGTTGTTATTTTCCCATTTGACCACCGTTATCTCATCACAGAGTGAGAAAGGGGATCTGGGTAGTAGTGACTGCAATTGGCTAGCAGCAGAGCCTAGCCCACATTTCAGATCTGGCTTATTTTTCAGTTCTCCTATTGAAGATGACTTTACCTCCGAGTGGTGAGACCTTGAATTTTCAATTCCAGCACTTTCCCCTTCCCAAACACCATTTGCAGCAGGAAGTGTCTGCTGAGTTTGAATTTAGAGGACCTGAGTTCAAATCCCAGCTCTGCCACTAAGTAGATGTGTGACCACAGTCGAATCATTTTGCCAGAATTTTCTAGCCCTAAATCTACGGTCTAGGAAGCCTTTCCCAAACACCTCCTTCACCCCCTTAATTCTAATGCTTGTTTGTGCAAAGTTGTTTGCATGTTATCTTCTCCATTAGATTGTAAACTTCTTGAGAGTAGAGATTGCTTTTACCTTTCTTTGTATCTCCAGGGCTTAGCACAGTGTGATATTAATAAATATTAATTGACTGACTGATCCCATGAACTATTTCCTATGACTGGTATTAAATACTGTGGAGAAGCTGCAATATTATGACTCTCACTTTGGACCAGATTAGAAGAATGTTTTAGGGTCCAGTTTCATTGACTCAAAATATTAGTGCTTGAAGGTACTTTAGCGGTTATCATCTATAAGCCTCATTTAGAGATGAGGAAACTGAAACCTAGCAATATTCCATAGTTTGCTTAACACGGTGAGTTAACGACGTCTCAATTACAATCCCAAGTTGTGTTGACCTTCAATTCTGTGTTCTCATCAGTAGTTTTACTCAGCAATATTAACAGTCTTGTAGAAAGAACCAGGACCTGTGCCAGAGAAGGGGGCAGCTTTCCATTCAAAACCTTTGTTATGCTGACCTTCTCTCTTCCAAGTTTTTTCCCCAAAGCCATTCAAATTAACCGTTCCACTGGCCCACCTCCTGTCCCCCAACCAAATGGGAGAACACAGTGGAAATAGAAACTCCTGAAAAATGTCATCGCTTTATTGATATTCTCCCCCTCATGGGTTAGATCTGTCAGAGCATTGTACACATGTGAATTATCATCGTTATTATTCTCTGTCTTTAACACAGCATTAAGTTCCTCTGGAGACTTAATAAATTTGACCCAATAATGATTGTGTTCCCTTCTTCTCCGACACCCCTGTCTTCCTAGGAATATTCCCTTTCCCAGAGCTTATTGCTACACCTGGTGAATTCTCCCACTATCTCCTCATCCTCACTACAATCCTCAAAATAATTTTTACTCACATTTGGTCCTTTTCCCTTATCATCCCAACCCAAGTAGCCAACTCACCATGGTAAACTCCAAAGAGGGCTGCAGCCCCTAGAAAAGCTCCCAGGAACTGGGCCCCCGCATAGAAAGGGAATTTGAACCATTTCATCCGTCCATAGAGACACATAGCAAAGGACACTGCTGGGTTAATGTGACCACCTGCATGGAATATCAAATGATGGAGCGTGAGTCATGAGAGGGAGGGTCAGAATAGAGATAGAAAAAATTGTCTAAAATCTAACTAGCTAAGTAGTAGAAACAACAAGTCAAACTTCAAACTCTTCTACTCTATTTCTCACAATGAATAATCTGTTAAATCTAGTGACAGTCTATAAAATAAAAGTGAGTAAATGTCACTTTTAGATCATCAGAAATCATCATGATGGAGGGGGAAAAAAGGCCAGTGTATATATTTGATTAAAACCAAAGTCCACCAACTTCCCCACTTCCATTATGAGGATAATAAAAGCAACCTTGAGATTGTAAGGAGAGGACACTTCCAAGTGAATTGTTCCTGAAAAACACACCTTTATATATAGTTCAGGAAACTGAAATTCAGTTTGTTTCCTGTAGCACATGAAAAGTTGTTCTTTACTCTACCTAAACATGTTTCCCTTATATTAAAAAATAATTGTTAGGACTTGTAACCTTGGCCTAGACAGAGATTTCTCCATGTCTTCTGTGCTCCTGTCTGGTCAAGACCTCAGGCATGGTTTTTGCTCTGTGGAGTATATCATTTACTTTCCCAGATGTCTTTGCATCTGTACAGTCAGTAACCAGCTCCATCCCTTTTTCATTGTTCTTATCACAAGAATCCTCATTTTTACTGTACAGAAAAATAGCAAGAATCATCTTTGAGCTTATGGCATTCATGTCCCTAATGAACACATATTTTCCCCTGGGGAACATAATCCATATTTAGAAGAGATTTTAATTTAGGGAATTTGTTAAGTATTCATTCAGAATGTAGGAGGAAAAAGAAAAAGAAAAAAAAATTAAGAACCTAGGAAGACGAGGAAGTGGGGAACTGTATGCCAAAAAGAGTCATTGGCAAGTGTTTGATTAGATTTGAACATGATCCATTATGCCTCTGGACATAGTTGAAAGTGGGAGAAGGTAACAAAATATGGAATAATTTCGTATATGTGGGAGATCTCACAACCAGAACTAAAGAGTATCCTGTAAAATTTAAATGAGGAACATATAAAAGGAAGTACAACTTTAAATAAGGAGTAGCAAACGCATTCTTTCAAGAGCCAGAAACATCAAATAAGTTGAAGAATAGTTTAGATAAATTCATTAGTGACTAATTCATAATGGGGCATTCACAGAAGCTAAGGTTATTTTGAGTTATATCCTTTGTCTCTTGAAGATGACATCTATGGTCCCTTCTGATGCCTAGATACTAAGATCTAGAGAAGGAAGGAACTTTTGAGATCATCTAACCCAACCTCTTCATTTTACAGATGAAGAAACTGAGATCTGGAGAGGATTATGATATACCCACGGTCATACAGGTAGTGAGTAGCAAAGCCATGATTCAAATCCAGTTCCTTGGACTCCAAATCCAGTTCTTTTTCCATTACCATACTGAAGCCGTGCAGTACAGTGGGAAAGTCTGTTGGATTTGAAGTCAGAGGACCTGGGTTCAAGTCCCAGTTCTTCTACTTACTGTCTCTGTAATCCTGGGTAAGTTATGTAACCCTTCTATATTTTAGCTCCGATCTGTAAAATGAAAGGAAGTGGATTCAAAGTTCACTTCCAATTCAAAATCTATGATTTTATGACTTTATGTATCTGTCCATTGATATCACTTTCAGAGACTGCCTTTTGAGTTATTTAGACCATGGGTCTGACCTAGTGTCACTTTTCTTTTGTTATATTATTGATCTCACACCTAGTACTCAGAAATGCTTTGAATTGGTAAATTGACTGCACAGTAGTTAACAGTTAAAGAAATGTCTCTAGTTACTTTGGGGAAGGGATACCACCCTAAAGGATTGTGAAGGGACAAGAAAACATTACACACATCCTGCTCTTCTACAAAACACTGATCAAAAGCAACCTGTTTTTCCCTGCCAAGGATTTAGAAATGGACTTCATGTCCTATTTATATATTTACTGGAATTACATTATCACCTTGTGTACTCAAGCACTTTAGAAGACCTCAGGAACAGAAAAACAGGTAATGGAAATATCCTTGTCTTCCTTTTCCTAGGAGTATTACCTCCCCACCCCAAGTTCATGTTATATCTCATGGCTTTTTCCTCCCATTTTTGGATATGTTTAGCAATCAAGAATAGAGGAAGGATTAGAGTGGGGTCAGAAAAAAATGTTGCTCATCTCCACTTGAGTTACTGCCACCTCTCCTTTCCCGGAAAGGAGCCAAGAGAACCACAGGGTCAAAGGACTTGGGCATCATGGCAGTGACCACCATTTCTTCCTAAGCCAAGACCAGAGGAAGAGAGGGAAGTTGCCACCCCAGGACAATGACTTCTCTTTTCCTGTACTAGATTAGCACTGGGAGGGAGAACCATCTTGGAGAGTTGGTAATTTACATTTGGACTACTAGAAGAAATCACAGGTGAATTCTTGAATAGTGTTATGATCTGTCTCCTTGGCACAATAGTTCAAATTCTAAGACTTTGTGTCCACTAAGAGCAGTAATTAAATCTATGTTATTCTCAAGCACAGGTTCTGAAACATTGTAAATACAATTGAACTTCATTTATAGTGAGGAAAGTGCCTTGGATGGAGCATAAGGGTGGCAGGAGGTAGAAGAGGGATTTAGAAAGGGAGGTAGAAACTCCTAAGACAAGAAGGCCCCCAACTTTTAATTCTTATTGTTCTCTTTTGCCCTGCTAAGCAGAAATGTAGAGAACAGCAGCTAACATTTACATACTGCTTTAAGGTTTGCAAAACAATCTGCGACTGTTATCTTATTTGACCCTCACAAACTTATCTACTCTAATAACTTCAATTATCACCTCTGTACAAGCTACTATTATTACCCTCAGGCTGATAGAAATTAAGGGACTTGTTCATTCATGGCTACATAGCTAGTAGGTGTCTATAAGTCAGGATTCAATCTCAGGTCATCCTGATTTCAAGTCCAACACTTAATCCAAGGCACCACTCAGCAGCCCTGGTTGCCCCTCACTACTGCTATTAATAAGGGCCAGGTGGCCAGAGGTCCAGAGTGGGCAAAGGGCATTAAGAATTCTTTTCAGTTCAAAAATCTCTCTCCAAAACATCCACTAATTGGAATTCATGTGGGTTAAAAAAAATGCATCTTTTAAAATGCAAATATCTTTGCCAGGGTTAATCCTTTTGGTCACCTTAACATCAAATTTCTTTAATTATATTGTCTAAAAACACATGAGAATTATAGAAAATAATTTTGCTAAAGATGGGATGGGGGTGGGGAATGGACATGAGAAAGATCTCATGGGGACAAGGAGGGAGAGACAGGTAATTTTGGAGCAGGAGCTACTTCCAAGGAGGTTAGGGAGTTTTGAAAAATCAAAAAGCAGAATGAGAGTACCAAAAGTCTGGTAGGGAAAGAAAAAAACCAGGCCATGAAAGATGGAGAAAGGAAGATAAGAAGGCACCAATTCTCCTTAGTTTGCAATTTTGCCTAGAATCCTGATGGCTACTGAAAATTATCCGTAAATCATTACCATCTTGCTGTACCTGATGCCTATGAATTGCGTTTGAAGCAAGGCAGTGTGAGTTAAAATACTGGTCACATTCTATAGAACATACTCCCTGAATTAATCAGTGTAACTCAAACCCAGAAAACTTACTGTGGACTCCTAGAATCACAGGATTAAAGAGCTCCAGAGACCTGAGATATTTAGTTCCAGGCCCAGTGAATTTCTTTACTAGCTTGCCCAGACCCAAGAGGCTCTCAGGGAGTTATAATCAATCCCATACAGGAAAAATCATTACTAGGCAAGACTGCACTAATGGGGATCCTCTACGACAAGTGAATCTTGCCTTACACAGGGGAGAGTTTACTCAGCACCAGCCACTAGTCACAGACAACAACACAGCTCAGAAACAGAGCCAAAGTTAGATGACCTATCCTGCATTGCTTTCTTTCCAAGGTAGGCCATGCTTTTTCGGAGTCCCAACAGAGAGGAAATAGGGCTTTCTTTCTTTAAAGATGTGAAGAGTGAGAACAGTTTAGAATACCAGGGAGCCTCTGATAGGTGCTGAAACAGCTCCATGTTTGCAGGGCTTTGGGTGTGTGGCCTGATTGGCTATGTATGCCAGTTTAGTTCAGGTTAGCAGTCAGGGACCCTGGAAGCATGTCAAGAATCTAGTCAGTCAACAAGCCTTTATTAAGTGCTTACTATGTGCCAGGCACTAAGTATAGCCCCAGGTGTCCTGGAGGGCCTCTGAATGACTACATCAAGTTCAAATTCACTCTGATGGGCTTTGAATTCAATTGAATTCAATATAACTCAACAATTATTTATTAAACAACTATTATGTGCAGTGTACTATGCTTGATGGTGAGGAAACAAAGATGAAGCAACATATAATCCCACTTCTCAAGGAGTATTCTATCTAATAGGGAGATATAATCATCTGAAATACAATAATTGATTGTCATACAATCTGTAATATAAAAGTTGCATAGAAATTCAAAGAGAATATATAAGAGTTTTGAAGAGGAAGAAATCACTTACAATTATTTGGGAAGGCTTCATGGAGGTGATAGCACCTGAGCTGAACCTTGGAAGAAAGGAATGGTTTTGGTGGAAATGTTGAGGCATGGTAGACAATGTAGTCAAAGTTATGGAGGCTGGAATGGACGGGATATCCAGTATAGCACAATAGGGAGTACTATCTGTTAAAGTTGGGAAAGGGCCTTGAATGACAGACAAAGGTATATGCATCTTATTCATTAAGCAGGAGGAGCTACTGAGGGTTTTTGAGCTTAGAGTATTATGATCATCCCCATACTTACTGCTTCCCCCTGATCCCGGCCCTTTGTGAGATGAGTGGGTTCTGTGGCAATGGTTAAAGTCTTCAGAGTTTGAGGGAGTAGGGGACAATACCCTTGCAGATAAAGATCAGGAAAGAAAGGAAACGAGTACTTATCAGATACCTACTATGTGCCAGGCACAGGGTTAAGTGCTGTACAATTATTATCTCATTTGACCCTCACAGCAAGTCTTTGAGATAGGTGCTATTATTCTCTCCATTTTACAGTTGAGGAAACTGAGGCATATAGAGATCAAGTGACTTGCCCAGGTTCACACAGCTAATTAAGCTTCTGAGGCTAGATTTGAACTCAGGTCTTTCTGACTTTAGGCCCAGCACTCGATCCACTGTGCTACATAACAGCCAGTAGGCTGATAAGTTTTATTCAGTGAAGTCAAGGTTGATAGCTAAGATTCCAATCATGAAGCTGAAGGTGATATTGGAAGTACTGTCACATCCAAGACCAGTCAAGTCTGATGGAGTTAGTAACAAGCATTGTCTGAGGCCAAGCTTCAGGAGTGTGGCTAACAGAGAATCAAGAACGGCAAAGATTTCCCTCAGTTTGCTGCACTCAACATTCTGCAAGCATATGTGTGCTTTTATTTTCAGCCAAGCAGATCCTGACCTCTAGCTCTCTAGCTTCCTCTGAATTCCTCTCAACCGGATAGCTCCCACCACTGTAACTCTCAGTGGTCCTGATGGCAACCGCTATCCCTAAATGGTGGCAGAGGTAAATTAGAAAGATTGCATTGGTATCAGTGTGAAGGATGGTTTGGTGAAGAGGAAGACCAGTGTGTAGAGTACTGCTGTAGTTTTTGCAAAAGGAAAAGAGGACCTGAATTAGGCCTAAAAGGTTTAAGCAGGAATGGACCTTAGATACAAGCTGTTCCAATCCCCTCATTTTATAAATAAGTAAATTGAGGCTCAAAGTGTTTAAGTGACTTACCCAAGGTCATACAACTAAAAAAATGACGAAGCCAGAAATCAAAAACCGGTCTCTTGATTCTAGGGCTAATGTTTCTCTCACTATACCCTGTAGAAGTAGAAAAGAAGGAACAGAGGGGAAGGGCATTGTAGGAGTATAATTCATAGGTCTTGTCGACCTCTTGGATATGAGGATGGAAAGGAGGGAAGGGTCAAAGATGTCTTCCAAATTTCAAGCTTGGTTGACTAGAAAAGTGATGTCACCATCAGTAGACATAGGAACGTTTAGGGGGAGGGAATATTTGGGAATGATGATGGTGATGATGATTTAGCTTTGGACAGGTTGAGTTTGCAGTGTGTCAGCACATAGTTATGCATTAGATATTAGTATCTAATATTCAGCTGATTCTCAACCAAGTAGTCAAGGCATAAATCTTGTAGTAGCTTATACAAAAGTGATAATTGAAGTTACTAGAGTAGATAAGGTTGCCAAGTGGAAGAATGTAGTGAAAAAAGAAGAGAAAATAGAGTCTTAAAGACTGCCCACATAGCGGTAGGAGGAGAAGGAAGAGAAGCCAAGAGATGTAAAGAGGTAAAGAGATGACCAAAGCCAGGTGGTGTCATGAGACGGAAAGGAGGAGAGAATGTCAAGTAAGCAGGTATTCCAACAGTGTCAAAACTTACTGAGAAATGAAGAAGAAAATTAGGACACAAAAAAGGATTTGAGGGTAAAGAGATGAACATTGGTGACCTTGGAAACATCAGACTTAGTAGACTGGTGAGGGGAAAAGCCATATTTCAAGAGGTTAAGAAGTGATGGAATGGTAGAGAAAATTGAGACAATCAGTGTAGTTTGGTAGTGAAGAAAGGAATAGAAAAATAGGAATATAGTTTAGAAGATAGGAGGATCAAAGAAAGTTTATGGATTGTTTTCTTTTTTTATGAAGAAACCTAAATATGAGTACCAGTTGAAAGGAAGGAGCCAACAGAAAGAAAAGGTTTGAAGGAAAAAAAAGGGAGTGGGAATGTTTAACAGAGCAAAGTTTCAGAGGGTAGGAGAGTGAATGGGCATTAAGGGCACAGATGGAGGGCTGGTCTTGGTGAGGAGGAAGGCCACATCGTCCTCTGAGGGAAGGAAAAGACAAAATTTTTACGTGTGCAGGATAGAAGCTGAGGGAGTTCACTTTGAATAGATGCCATCTTTTCTGTAAGGTAGGAAATGAGGTCATTTAATGAGAAAGTGGAGGGAAGGTAGAAGGAAGATTTGGGGATTTGAGTTAAAGAGGTTTGGAATGGTTACTAACTGATTTGATAAGAAGTCAATAAAAGATTAATAAAAGCAGGCCTGCACAGCCTGTGGCTCACAACCCTCTTGTGGCATGACAAAGGATTTTGGGCAGCTCGCTAAAAACATAGAAGAAAACATCCTCTACATTTTTTGCGGGCCTCCCAAAATCCTTTGGCATGCCTATGGGCTCATGGCTGCAGATTGTGCAGGCCTGAATAAGAGGATTATCCAATAGTAGTATAGACCCAGATGAAGTTAAGAAAGTCCAAATTTCAAATGCACCTAATTAGCAATGGACTTTGTCAAAAAAAAAAAACCTCACTGTCGCAAGGGAGGGAATAAAGAAGGTGGATGATGGGGGTTGTACAGATTTGAAGATTAGCAGGGCAGAAGTTCTGGAAAGAGAAGAGATCAAGAAATTCAACAATTCTCTGGCTACTTGAGCTCTTCCCTTTTCTATTAAGTTAGTCAGAACATTTAAAGTAAAAAACTCATAATTATCCTAATTATCTAATCATCTGGTTGTATTGGACCTCCCAGGATAGTTCTTAATGGAATCAACATCATTTTAGTTCAGATTTATTCTCTCTTCCAGGGAAGAAGGCTTGAACCAGATCTAGGCTTCAATGGTTTATTGCAGGGGAAGGCTCTGCCACTTGCATATGGTAAACTGGATTCGTGGAGTTATTTTTATGATTTCTTTTTTCGTGACAGAATTTTTTTTTTTTAATTTTGGTAGCTAGGTGGTACAGTGGATAGAACACTGGGCCTGGAATCTGGAAGACCTGAGTTCAAATCCAGCCTCAGATACTTACTAGCTGTATAACCCTGAACAAGTCACTTAGCCTCCATTTCCCTCAGTTTCCATTTCTGTAGAATGGGAATAATAAGAGCAGCTAGATAGTACAATGGGTAGTATACTGGACCATCAGTCAGGAAGACTCATCTTCCTGAGTTCAAATATGGCCCTAGATACTTACTAGCTGTGTGACCCTGGGCAAGTCACTTAACCCTGTTTGCCTCAGTCCCTCATTTGTTAAACTGGAGAAGAAAATGGCAAACTACTCCAATGTCTTTGCCAAGAAAACTCCCAATGGGCCACAAAGAGTTGGACACTACTGAAATGACTCAACAACAAAGGCACCTGCCTTCCAGGGCTGTTGTGAGGATCAAATGAGACAGTGATTGTAACGCACTTAGCACCGTGCTACATGAATGTTAGTCATTGTTATTACTATGCTAAAATATCCTCATTCTCAATGGTAGTCCATGGGGAGTGGAAGACAGCAATGATTGGAGAGGAGTAACACGAGGAAAATTACCAGAGATGCCTCCTGTCACATAAACAGCCATTGCAACAGCCGCAGAAAAGCCAATATTTATGGTCACAATTCCACCTGAAGCCCCTCGGCTAAGGACGGCTTGGGCTACAGAGCCACATCCAAGGACCTGGGGAGACAAAGAATGAAAAGCAGGTAAATGAATTGGTTGTGTCGGAATAAAAGGCAGAGGAAGTGTACACTAAATATATATTTATAGTGGCATCTATTGTAGCAGCAATGTACCCAAAACAAAGTACGATGCCAATTGATCGGGGGATAGATAAACAAGTTTTGATAAGGCAATGTAATGGACCATTACTGTGCTGTAAGAAATGAAGAACAGGAAAAACCTTGGGAAGACTTGCATGAATTGATACAAACTGAAGTAGACAGAACCAGCAAAATAGTCTACATGACAACTATAACAGTGTAAATGGAAAGGATAACATAAAACAAAGTAAAAACTGAACACAGTTGGCTGCAAAGAGGAGATATGAGAATGTACCTCTCTCCCTTCTTTGCAGAAGTGGGATACTCTGCATATGAGATATGGCATAGACTGTTGAAGATGGTTGATAGATTGCTTAGTTTTGGTAAACTGCTTTTTTATGCCTTTTTAAATTCTTTGCTAAAATAAATGACTAGGTAAGGGAATAGAGGGGAATATAGCAGAAAAGAAAGAGAAAGAAATGATAAATAGATGTGTAGAATGGTTTTACACATACACACATGCACACACGTATATTTGCATGTGTATACATATACACATATATGTGTGTCTAATGGTAGCTATCACTAGGGCAGGGGGCAGGGAGGGAAGAAAAAAGAAAAAAAAAGAAAGTTATATTAAACCTTTATTACATACTTAGAAGGAATAGCAAGTTATGCATAATAGATTTGTAGTTTCATGTACAGTTGTCTTTTTTTCTATTCTGCTATGTTGTGGAAATGCTTGTTTTATTTCTTAAGTTCAGAATAAAATAAATAAACTTCTAAAAAAAGAAAATGAAGATGATACAAAAACAAAAGATACAGATAATTTTTTTAAAGACTCAGGCACTGCCCTCTAGGTACTCCCCAAATTGCTGTTCAGTGGTTTCAGTTGTGTCTGATTGTGACCCCATTTGGGGTTTTCTTGGCCAAGATGCTGGAGTGGTTTGCCGTTTCTTTCTCCAGCTCATTTTACAGATGAGGAAACTGAAACAAACAGGGTTAAGTAACTTTCCCAGGGTCACACAGCTAGTGAGTGTTTGAGGCCAGATTTGAGCTCAAGAAGATCAATCTTCCTGACGCCAGGCCTGGCACTCTATCCACTGTGCTACCTAGCTGCCCATGCTCTCCAAATAAGTCAAATCAAGTCAAGAAGCATTTATTAAGCACTTACTGTATGCCAGACACTGTGCTAAGTGCTGGGAATAAGAAAGGCAGAAACTTCCTGCCCTTTCCTTCACACAGTCTAATGAGACAGACAACAGGCAAACAGCTATGCACGTATAAACCATATATAGGGCAAATTGGAGGTAATCCAGGGGTCAGTCCGACAGGACGACAACAACAACAACAACCACAAAGAGACACCAATACAATTGTATAAAGAAGGGCACAGAAAACTATTCAAGTGTATCTTTGACAGGTGGAGGCTGACAAGAGTTGCTGTTCAACAAATGGGATCAGGAAGAAATTGACTTGATGCCAGCAAAGGGATTTCGAGAGCTATTTAGATGATGGAGGAGAAGCAGTTAAGTGAGGAAGAATGAGGAGAGTCCACAAAGAAGGTTTGGCTTGAGAGACACTAATTAGAAGCCTTAGTATAATGGAATGAGTGTGAGTGGATCTGTCCTGGTAGGTTGGGGAGATGAGGAAGTATGGAGACAGCCTAGTTTAGGGATTTGAAATGAGGTGGAGCTCTGCCCCAAGACTTCCTCCACATTGACAAAGGCCCAAAATGTTTATTTTGGTAATGTGTGATTCACGTCTAACAGAGGGACTCCACCTAGAAGTCTCTTTCATTCTGAGCTGGAAAAATCTGCTAATTAGGGGCAGCTAGGTGGTGCAGTGGATAGAGCACTGGCCCTGGATTCAGGAGGACCTGAGTTCAAATCCAGCCTTGGACACTTAACACTTAATAGCTGTGTGACCCTGGGCCTAACCAAAAAAAAAAAATCTGCTGATTTAAGGGACCATAGGGAGTAGGACCATTCCCCCTACAAAACTGCTCATTTTCTTTTACTTTCTTTTTGTTTGTTTGTTTGACCAAATTTATGATTTTTCCAGTGTAGAACTCCCAGGGAGGACCTTTTTTTTTATACCACTGGAGACTTGTACCCTGTGGTTTTAGAGAGTTGCCCCCAGACACTGAGATGTTAAGTGACTTGTCCAAGGACACATGGCTAGCCTATATACGTGAAAGGATCCAAACCTGGATTCAAAGCAGGAGAGAGAATATTCAGTTAGGATTTAAGAAATTCGGTAGTAATGATTCTTCCATCCTGTTCCTTGGCGTGACCTCATCACATCCCTTAAATTGCACCAAGGGGAATTTAAGGAGACTTTGAATCCCTATATGTCCCAGGGTCCAATGGCCACTGTAACTACTCTTGTTTGTTTCACTCACTTTACCCTAAATTCTGTACTTTTTCTCTGTAGCTTTTCCTGTGTACATGCATTTTCTCCCCCGACACATCTATAAGCTCTGCACATAGCAGCTTAATAGATATCTGTTCAATGAAGGTCTAATGTAACGATCAGTGTGCAGTAACATCAAGTTGACGAGTGTTTTGGAGGGTAGAATCAAGATTCACGATGACCTAGGAAGATTAGAAAAATTAGAAACTTCCAAAACATTCACTAAAACAGAAATTTTAGAATATTTAACCACACAAATACAAAATTAAAGAGAATAGCTTAGACTCATAGAATGTAAGATCTGAAATGAGAAATTATGTAATTCCTCACTGTCACTGTAATGACTGCAGCAATCTAAACAAAATGAATCCCAAAATGAAGCCAATACTGAGTAATTGTCCTGACAAATCTTGGCCCCAGAGAAGAGTCCCTTACTCTTTTCAGTAGAGAAATAGAGTGCTATGTGTAAGCAATGTTATATGTACTAACAGAGTCACTGGGTCAGTTGGTTTTGCTTTACCGTTTTGTCTTTTGTTTGTTACCAGAGAGGCCTTAGTTTTAGGGGGAAGGGAGTCGGGGTGGAGAGTATCCAGAAATGACTACAAGAGAAAAACAAGAGACATCAACAAAACTTGGAAAAGTATCTGTAAAGGACTCGTACTCATAACTCATCCTCCATTTGTTTCAAGGACCAACCACAAATAAATAAGCTTAAACTGTAATGAGAGAGATGAGATCAAAAAAGAATTCTCCGACAGTGATGACTGCTAAACAGGTCAGTGAGGGATGTTGTCAAAGAGCTTTCTTTAAATATTTTAGAGTCATTATATTTGGAGCAGGAAGGAACCTGGGCTGTCTCCCTCATTTGATAGCCCAGAGAGACAGCCCAACTCAGACACTCACTAGCTGTATGACTCTGGGAAAGTCACTTAACTAACTTGCCCAAGGTCACAAAACAGATCTGGGAGTCAAATGCAAGTCCTCAGATTGCAAATAAATCTCATGCTATGTACCATGGTGCTTCTCTTTCTCTCTGAAGATCTTCAAACATTAGTACAGATTCCTATAGATGTGGGATGGTTTGGGGGCAGTACCTAATATCAGAGGAATGGACTGTGGAGGCCCTTCCAACCCTAAGACCTATTGACTTTTCAGACTACTAATTTTTAGAGAGAATTAGGAAGACTAGTTATGTCTGGAGCAGGCATACAGTTTAGCCATCATATTCACATGGCTAGCTTCAAATTTAGTCACTGATTTAACTGCCTACTCTCTAATGAACTGAAAATAAAATTGATTCCTATTTTCACTTTTCAGGTATCCCCCTAGGACCATTTCATCTCTTCTCAGTTTCTGGCGGATTTGTCCTTATTTTTCTAGGGCCCTTATCTATGGAAGTAACCCCAAACTAAAACCATGCTTGTGGTTAAATCTAGCTCAGTCCTCAGGAAATAAGGTCTAAACTCACTGGCAATTTGGCAGTGTTTCCCTGAAAGGGCAGACCGTAAAGAGATGATTAGTCAGAAGAACAGGGTCAAGAAGCACGTCTATATTATAATGAGAATCATAGAACTTGAAGGGTCCTCAGAAACCATCAGGTCCACCCCTTCATTTTACAGATGAGGAAACCTCAGACCCTAAGAAAGTTGAGTGATTTGTCTAAGGTCACATAGGTACTAAGTATCAGTTGTGATTTGAACACATGTCCCTTGACTCCAGATACAATCCCTGCCCAGGAAGAGATGATATTCCTTTAAACATAACACTGACTTGGACAAACCAGTAATGGGTCACTAAATAATGATAATACACAAAAGATCTATGATGTCATTAGCATAGAATTCCCATTGGGGGAGCATTTTCTGACTTTTATAGTTTCTAATGCACATGCACTAGAGAGCTTTAAATCACTTTATTAGTTGAACAATGTCTTTGCTCAGTCAAATTTCATTGTAATTAATGTTGCCCTCAGATATTCTAGATGCTAAAATGCCTTTTGTCCTTTACTAGGAAGGACAAGCCACATGGTGAGCAGCTGAGAAGAAACAAGAAGAGAGCTAAATTCTATCCTAATTAGACATCACCACTGTGCAGGGCAAAATATTGCAGGCAAGATTTTCCAAAACCCTACAAAATTTTAAATTTTTGATTGCACCCCTGAAAACGATTTTATTCTCCTAAAAGTTGAATCAGCCTATTTCTTTCCCTGTCTGATTCTCTCCCATTTCACCCACACGTGTGTCCATCCTATCAGGAAGGCAGACCTTGAACATGTTCATTGATGATGTTGTTTGCTAGGGGAACTGGTGATTTAGTCTGTGGTTGCCTTTCTTTGAGTGTTCAGAGCTCTATTTCCCCTCTCTTATCCTCAACTACAGGAGCTTAGGATTGGCTCTTAGAGGGATTGGAGTCAGAAGAGATCTGGATTTCAATCTCAGTTCCAACATTAATTGGCTATGGAGCCATTGACCAAGCCTCACTTTGCTCATCCATAAAATAGTA